GAATTGCTGTTCCTATGTAAATCTGTGGATACTTTTTTTTTTCTGTTTACGATATCTGATCTTTGTTTACTACAAGCCTTGTATACACACACCAGCTGCAAGTGTGTTAATCCGCGAACTTTAAGCGTCCTCCTTGACGAAGGTTGATGATTGGCCTGGAAACACGACGAAATATCCTCGTTTCGCCCGACTTTGAAGCTTTTCCTAAATTAAACTCACAGGTAGAAGGCAGCGCTTATCCAGGAATATAAGTTTTAAGCAGAAACGAGAAAATGAGAGCAGCGAAGCGATAAGTGAGAACTTTGCGTTATGGTTATCGTTCTCGGTCTCTTGTATTACGTAGACGTGTAGAAGGTAACACTGGGGCTTCATTACCATGATAAAATGTTAATCTTATTGTAGACCCAACAAGTAAAAAAACAAGTAGTTAGGCACCAAAATGTTTAGTGGAAGGTCGATTAGACATGAATGCTGAAGTTTCAGATCCAGTGCAATTCCTTAAAAATGCTTAAGAAATGCGCTAAACAATGGCTAATACGAATACCACTTATTTGATTGAGGTAAATAAAATAGAGGTCTTGCACAGACAAAATTATCCTAAAGCTTGAAGGTAAATTAAATTCGCTTATTTTCAAGTTCAGAAACCTACCTACAGTATTAAATGCACCTCAAATAATCTCAGTTTATTATGCTAGGTCGAATCTCGACTCCGTTATGGAATTTGCTTATGTTGTAGTTCTACCCATGCTTTGAATGTGCGCAAAAGATTGTTAGAAGTATTGTTGGTATCTGTAACACCCAGTCATGTTTAAGCAGTTTTAAAACTTGAAAAATCTTACCTCTTACGTGCCTATATATTTTGCAGTTATGCTTGTATGTCTTTGACTATAAAAACAGATTTCCATTACTAGGAAGTACACACGATATAAATACAAGACAAAAAATGCATTGCTAGTTCCATTTGCCTACTGTATTGGGACCCAAAATTTTCAATCGTCTGCCCTGTTATACCGGGTGTTTGGTGCATCGTTTGCGAAATTGAAATGGCAAACAGAGGAGATCTTTTTCTATTAGCCCAGGTTCCTTAAACAGTTTGTAGCCCAATGGAATTAATTATGTAAATTTTTTAATTTTTCTAGTAATAACTCTAAAATGTAATACATAAAGTGAAATAAAAAAAAATGAAGCGTATGTTCACCTAATGATTAATTCATTTTAATGGGCGATGTACCAATCTTAAGAAATCAACATTCTTGCCTGCAGCATGCAGTTTTTTATTTATAAAGTCACAAAGGGTTACAAAGAAGAACAAAAAATGTAAGTCTCAATTTTGAATTTCTGTAAAAAAAACTAAAAGCATTCACGTTCTTAGAATTCTTTTAGAAACTACTCTAGTTTATCACGATTCTAACGGTATGCTACAAGTCACAAAAAAGTTTAACTAACATATTGAATTTGCAAATGTTGTGTACAGGGGAAGGTTTGCAAATTTTGTGTACAGGGGAAGGAAAAAAAACGTGTAAAATCAAATTTCAATCATTTATTATTTTTTCTGTTTCACAAATCTTGTTCGAATTGTTGTCGTCTATTGCATATGCACGCATGACACCTTTGTGTTATCTCGACGATTGTACGTAGACGAATTTCTTCCCGAATCGTCCAAACGCCTCTTCTATTCTTCGGATCAACACCTCCCTTGTACCAACTTCTGTAAAAATCTAATGGAGTTAGGTCTGGGGAGCGTGTAGGCCATGGAATAGGACCATCTCGTCCAATCCAGGCAATCGGAAAAACATCATTTAGATGTTCCCGCACAATTAGCCTCCAGTGTGCGGGACAGCCATCATGTTGGAACACAATTCGTCTGTCGCCATTGAAAATTGGAACCTCATTCACCAATTCGGGCAACTTATTTTGCAGAAAATGTAGATAATTATCTCCGTTAAGACGATCTGCCAAATAATGTGGCCCAATCGCATGATTTCCAATTACTCCTGAACAAAAAACACACACTGAATCTTCTCTGAAAAGGGCCTAGTCTCTTCACTCTTCGGTTCTGATCTTTTGAAGCCCAATAGATAGTGCAAATTTAGTATCCTTTCCTTGATGAATTTGGACTCATCCGTCTACAGAATAATTGTCAAAAAGTCCGGATCGTCCACATCTGTGTGCAGCAAGAAACGACAATACCGCACTCGGTTGTCGAAGTCATTGTTTTCAAGACCTGCAATCAAAAAAATACGGGTAACATTGTTTGCCGCCGCTAGATACTAAATAAAAGCGATAAGAAGTTTCCATTGCAGACAGTTCTAAGTGTGATAGAAAAATTACGTACCTTGTACAGGAGTATAGTGGAAGGCATGTCTATTATCCTGGCGACGTACTTTCCACACTTTCCAAATGGAAACTCCCAGTGATGAAGCCACATTTCGGATGCTTTGAGTGGGGTCTTCCTCGACAAGTGCCAAAATGCTCTCATCGATGTCAACATTGTGTCGCACTGTGACACCTCTTGGTACATTATTGCTCACAGTACCGGTTTCTCGTAAGCGTCGATAAGTGTTTTGGAATGTGTGGCGAGTAGGTAGACGCCTGCTAGGATAGCGTTCTTCGTCGATTCTATGCGCTACTCGTGCAACACAGTTGGCTTGTCCGTGCACCAACAACATGTCTGCATACTCTTCGTTTGTAAATACAGCCATCATCAAAACAGAACTGAACGAAAACTGACAAAACAACGACAGTCACAGGTCGCGGCACTACGTAGAAGTGACAAAACCGTTAGGGTACAAACATAGTGGAACGACGAGGCTAGAGGCATAGCGACGAGGTAAGCGACGCGGCTTTTATTTCATCGTGTATTGTAATGAAACCAAACATAGTAAAGAGGTTGACGCAGTACTAAGCGACGAGACAAGCGAGGCGATACGCGTCGAGATAAAAATTATATTTATTGCCGCGTTGATGCAGGAGTGTGTTCATATTAAACGTCGGACGTACGTCGGGTGCACACCAGCCGCACACGGCAAATGCGCTGGTGTGCACCCGACGTACGTCCGACGTTTAATATGAACACACTCCTGGACGGGTCTAGCTTAATTCTTTTCAAGTTTTGACAAGTAAAGTGACGTATACAGTGTTTATTACATACAAAATGGCAGAGCAAGTCAATGTAATAATCTCTGTGTTCAAGAGGGGTGCATTATGGAATGCTTCTCATCCAGATCATAGAAATCGCTATGTATTAGATGAACTTTGGGCAGAAGTAGCTACAGAATGTGAAATAACACGCAAGTAAATTTAAGTAACATATATTTTATACACAGAGTCACTGATATTGCACAGGGAAAGTATTTAGGTAATCTCTGAATGTGTCACGTATAAAAATTGCTTGATTGGGAATTCGACCTCTTGCGTTCCAATTTGGTCTGGCAAAATTGTTGTTTGCAGCACTTTCTGTGATTAATGTCAAATGCCTTTCGAAGCCCTCTTTATCCATGATAACATTATGTAAAATACAAATTGACTTGATTATAATGTCGGCGAGTTGTTCGTCTGTTTCTATGGCTTTGGATAATATTCTCCATTTTGCATACATTATACCAAATGAACATTCAATCGTCTTTCTTGCTCTAGACAATCGCTGGTTAAAGTACAGCCTTTCAGGATTAAGAGTTTGTCTACTATATGGTTTAAGCAAGTTTTCTTGTAGTGGATATGCTTCATCGGCAATGAAAACAAATGGCATGCGAATTTGCGTATGTGGTAGACACTGTTCAGTTGGTACATTTAATTGTTTCTTTGAAAGTAGTTCAAACAAAGCAGAACTTTGAAAGGTGCCCCCATCGGATTGTCGTCCATATCCTCCTACCTCTATTACAGTAAATCGATAATTTGCATCGCAGACTGCTTGAAGAACGATCGAAAAGAATTTTTTATAATTAAAAAACATACTTCCTGAATGGCTGGGACATTTGATTTTTACGTGCTTCCCGTCCAAGGCACCTAGACAGTTGGGAAAATTCCAGTTGTTCATGTAATCCTCACTAATTTTAATGAAATCATCCTGTGTTGGAACTGGCATGTGTATTGGCTGTAATATATTCCATATAGCGTTAACAACTTCTTTAACGATTGAGCCAACCGTTGTAGCTCCCATGCGAAAAGTGAATGATAAGCTTTTGAAAGATTCTCCTGTAGCTAAATATCTGCAATGGAAACATCAGTTATAGCTCAATAGCTAAATAGCTGTAACAATTTGAAAAATGAGCGAGTATTTACTTTTTTAGCACTAGATATGAAGATTGATAAACGAGAGTATAGGAAGTGGTTCATCACAACATGTGTAAAACACAATGAATATCAGCTATTTTGCATGGTGTTCTATTTTAACACTAGTGTTAAAATATACTACTTTCGACAATAAAAGACAATGTCAAAAAGATTTGTTTCAGTAATTGAAGTACAAAATCGCTATTTGATTATGTAACTATTTGCAAACTAAACTTGTTTTCTGCACTAGACATGTAGATCTTGTGCAAAAAGCAAGCTGCTTTGTATCGTGTTTCATTCAAATTGTTTTCATAATTCAGTACGGAAAAAATAAATTTTAGCTCGTGACATTGATTCGACTGTGTTAAAGAGAAACCTATTTTAATACTAGTTACCTCATTTTAGCACTGATATTCTATTTCAACACTAATGTTGAAATAAACCACTTTTGACAGCGAAAATCAATGTAAAAATTATTACTTTTCGTAACTGAATTACAATTTATCTTTTCAGTAAAGGCGGCTCAAACCAAATGGAAAAATTTAAGGGATTATTTTCGAAGGGAACTGAAAAAAATTCCGATTCCACGGTGAGGAGATCCAGGAGACATTGCAACTAAATCCCACTGGACACATTTTAAAAGTTTGCTATTTTTAAAAGATCAGTTTAAGCCTCGAGTATCAACGGGAAATTTGGTAGATTCTCGGAATGAATTGCTTGCTACGGACATGCAATCTGATGTGAATTCTGATGATGATAGAGTAGAGACGGAAACAATAGACGAAATGCAAGACACCCTGAACGTCGAGCCAGCGACACCTACTTCTGTTTCTTCAGAAAATGTTGAGGATTCGTCCACAGGCACGTCAAGTCATGTTGCTGAACCCCGAACAGTTTTGAAAAGCCGACTCCGTAAAAGAAAAAATAATATTGCTGATTTAGTGGCCATCGAAAAACAGAAATTGGAATTCATCAGAACAAAGAGAGCCAACATAGAGGAAACCAAAGAGGATGATCATCTGGCATTTTTAAGAGTTTACTGCCACACGTAAAAAAATTCCGGACAACAATATTTTGCAGTTTAGAAATAGCGTTCAAGATCTAGTTCAGAGATATGCGTATGGCTATACTAATCAAATGAATCAAGGTTTGCAAACCTTCGATTATCAGATCAATCAGAGCGACATCTCTTACTGAACTTTCGTTTCCTCACAATGTGCTGCATTTTGTTACATGCATATTTCTTAGTTTGTGTTGGTTAGAATATATTATTTTTAGTTCATATTTTCCAGTGTTTAAGATTGTTTTGTTAAATGAGTTTGATAATAAATGTTATGTGTTTTTCTACAAGGCTATTATACATTCAACTTACCTTAAAGTAATAACCAATCTCGCTTCCGGTTTAATAGGTTGTTTATTGTAGTTTGTCCAGTTTTTTTGAAGGTATGGAGAAACCTTATCCAAAATGTAGTTGAAAGTGCCAATATTCATTCTCAAATATTCGAAAAATCGGTCTGGGTGCTGCTTGAGCTCAAGAAATAATGTATGGTACTGACCAAACCGTTTGCGCGCCTTATTAATAGGATGTACAGAACAAGTTCTGTCTAAACCGCCCATTGCAATAAGCCCACGAAGCGCGGCATTATCAAATAAAATTTCATCTTCACTGTCGGATAACATTGTTTATACTGATTTAAGTTTGGAACGTCAAAGCTACAAATCGCAAAATCTGTCTCCTTACTATGTGCATGTCTCCTGCCACGTCGCTTATACCGTCGCTTACCTCGTCGCTATGCCTCTAGCCTCGTCGTTCCACTATGTTTGTACCCTTAGGCAGCCAGCAGGGACGAACCTCGATGGAAAAATGAACCCACGTCATCCCTGTCGGTTAGCCGCTCAACTAGTAAAAAAGAGAGGCAGTTGATACTGCTCCGCTGTGTAAGAGGGAGACAAAATTTTTATCTGAGTTGCGTTGTACGTGTAAATTACACAACAGAAACAAAAATTCATTGTTATTATCTGACCGAAAAAATTTCACCTTGTACACAAAACTTGCAAATTGAAGAAATTATTTCAACTTTTTTGTGAGTTGTGGCACACCGTTAGAATCGGGATAAACTATTACTATTACGATTACTATTACTATGATAATTGAGATGAGCAGAGTACACAGTACTATAAGCTCATGCAGTAAATATAGTGTACGGACATGTAACACAAATACATCAAATCTATCTTTTCTAAAAAATAAAAAAAGACAGTTCATAGCTATAAAGTTTGTACACTCCTCCAGCTATCATACTGCACTTTGAAGCTATTAACTGAAGTAGCACCAACCACACTTTCAGGTAAACTATTCCAGGTGTTGAATATGCGGTTGGGAAGAAATCACTGTCGGACTGTTGTTTTAAATGGCTCCTTATGCAGTTTGAAGCTGTGTCCGCGTAGATTGTTGCGCGACAGACCGTATAGATGCATGAGGTTGGTGCCCATCAAACCATGAAGTATCCTGAACGTAACTATAAGATCGCCACGAAGTCTTCGCTCAGAGAATGAGGTCAGGTTGAATAATTCAAGGCGATCTTCATAGCTTGGTCTTCGTGCTCCAAAAGGGATACGAGTAGCCCGACGCTGTACTGATTCGACGAGATTTCTATCGCGCAGAAGCACAGTGTCCCATACCGGGACAGCGAATTCAAGAATTGGCCTCACGAGTGCCTTGTAAATGTAGGCGCAAGTGTTGACATCGGATCCTTTGAAAGACCTCTCGAGCATGTATAGAAGTTTCTTGGCTTTTGATGTAACGTGGTGAATATGCTCTGACCAGGAAAGATGATCGTTGACTACAACGCCCAGATCAGTGTGGCTGGAAACTGCTTCGATGTTGTGGTCAGAGATCTTGTATGTAAATCACGGATTTGTCTTCCCGAGGTGAAGGACACAACACTTAAGGGTAAAAGCCAACTGACTGACCATTGACAAACAATATCAAGATCTCGTTGAAGCATAGCAGAATTTACGACAGTATTGTAAATCTTGGTGTCGTCGGCATAAGCTGAACATGTGGAGGAAATCAATGCGGGCAGGTCACTTGTATACAGAAGGAACAGCACTGGCCCCAAGACAGAGCCTTGAGGAACTCCACTTGCTACATGATGAAGGTGAGACTGGCTATCACTGACGCGCACAGAGAAAGTCCTCCCGGTGAGAAAAGCCTTAATCCTCAGTAAAAACTCGCCTCTTATTCCCATACATTCCAACTTAAACAGAAGCCTTCTATGTGGTACGCGATCGAAAGCCCTAGAAAAATCTAAGTAGATTATATCAACAGGAGTCTTTGTGTCCAGATACTGAGTCCAATCGTTGAGAGAGTGGAGAAGGTTGGTCATTATTGATCGACCAGGGAGAAATCCATGCTGATTCTTAGGGATAAGGTCATTTTCGAAAGCAAATGACAGGAGCTTATCTAATATGATTCTTTCAGCTATTTTGGCGGCGATAGGAACGAGACTTATTGGTCGATAATTTTTAGCGGGGGATTTGACGCCCTTTTTGAATACAGGGGTAACAGAAGCATTGAGCCAGCATGAGGGTAGGGTATGAGATCTAAAAGACGATGTGAATATCAAGCTTAATGGTAGGGCCAGTGCTGAAGCGCAGTTTTTAAGTACAGCAGCCGTCATCCCATCTTTACCAGGGGAGGAAGAGGTCTTCAGATTTCGCAGGTGCATTTATACATCTTCAGGCAGGAACTCAACTTCGCAAAGGCTGTTGGGACACCTATGGCAGATAGTGGTCGGTAGAAGGTCTCCATTAGGCTCATCGACTTGGTCATCACTAAAGGACTCTGCCAGTAAGTTGGCAGATTCGGTGGCATCCATGTGGAGATGACCGTCGCGGATCTGAGGTGATGAAACTTTGGAATTCAGAGTAGTTTTTAAAATAATTCTAAGACCGTGAACGATTTTATTTTTTTTACAGAAATTCAAAATTGGGACTTACATTTTTTTGTTCTTCTTTGTAACCCTTTGGAGTTTATGAATAAAAAACTACATGCTGCTGGCAAGTAATGTTGATTTCTTCAGATTGGTACATCACCCGTTAAGATAATCATTAGGTGGACATACTCTTTATTTTTTTATTTTACTTTGGAGTTTTTACCAAAAAAAAATTAAAAGAAACTACATAATCGATGCCGTTGGGCTGAAAACTGTTTGAGGGACCTGGGCTGATAGAAAAAGACCTCCCCTGTCCGCCATTTCAATTTGGCAAACGATGCACCCTGTGTTTAAATTTAAAAGTTATCTACTGGAGAACAGTTTTTACAGTCTCTCAGAGTTTTTGTAATTTTTAACAGTTTAACCTTATGAATCACCTTAACTTCTCAGTGTTAGGACTTATTGAATTGACAATTCCTATACAGTATTGTCTGTCTATGGAACAAGAATTGAAATGAATGATGAACTCGTAGATATTTTGCAACTTTAAACCATATTTAGTGTTACTTTCAAAGTGCGGATCTGGATACAAAACCATGCAACACAGAGATTATGCCACTGATGGAGCTTAGTATTCCACTGCTTTGTCTCTTGAAACAAGAAGTTGAAGGACCAGTCAGCCGAACTAATCTAAATATCCACCTTTGATTTTCGTCAAAGTCGATGCAGATGTTTCTGGCAGACGTCAAAGACAGACAAAACGACAGACGAAATCCATATTCTCTTGATGTTGACGTGATACAAATTTCTGGTGTTCGCATTCACTTCCCTCGCTTATGCATTCGAAGTAGAAGAAAACAGAAAAGCGGAAACGGGCAAAACATTTATAGAATCTGCTTTCGCTCCATTTTGAGTTTATCGTTTCCTGGTAATTTGCTCCTAAGTACTCGGCATTAAAGGTGGTGATGAAATTTACTATGATTGCTTTCCGAATCACCTAGAAACAACGTAGGCAATGACATCGCTTCCCGTTCGCTTCAATGAGGCGTATCGGAAAGAACGAGCATTTGCTTTGATCCGGTCATTTCTTTCTTTCGGTGCATTTGGCTTGGGCTCTAAGAAACGTTAATGAAAACACGGTGAAAACTTTGTTTAACAAGTTTGTTTGTGATGCATTCGAAGTTTGCTAGTCGCCTTAATTGAACTCGTTAATTAGTATGACATTGCGTTAGTATGTAGAGTTGCTATCATCTTAATACGCACTTTGCTTTATCAAGATCGTAAATCAAACTTAAGTATTAGGCGCCAATACAGAATAGTATTAATTATGTGATTAAAACTTTAATCGCTAGGCTTGGCGTTCAGGAATTAGGACCTCTCGATTTTGCAACTGAAGCGAAAAAATATGAACAGCCCAGCAAAGCTTTCAGGAACCGTCATTAATGTAATGATTTATCACCCCATGTAAGTATCTTAGACTATTGATCGCGTCTGTGCAACAAAGGATTCCGCGTACTATACAGGGTGGCCCAACGAAAAGGTCGCATCTCCATTTGTGACTCTCCTGGTATATTTTGGGAAACAACGCACATCAATTTTGGTTTCTAGGAGGACGCATTTTCGGCTATAGCCATACAATATAGGGTGATTAAAAAATAAGATATTATACTTTATATTTTTAAATGGAAACCGCCATTTTTTTAATTTTTAGATTGTCCATGAAGTTTTTAGTAGCTTTTATACGATAAAGCTTACACCTATCTTCAATCGTTGTGAAACTTTGATACATATATTGTTTTTATTTTTAAAATCCACACTGGACTTTTTTTATTTAAAGAAGGTGTTCAAAATGTCGTCCTACCGGTTCGATAAGAGTGATGAAATACCGACGCGCTGTTATCATGTGTGTGTTAAATATTTAATTTGGTGAAACTTACTTACTGACTACAAATTTTGGATTAACGTGGAAGAACTTAATGCCATTTATTTGTTAATTACCCAACTTAAAAATGTTTTAGATTGGATTACAAGAATTAGTAAGATCGTGGTGATTGTGGTCGATATAAAGCACTTATAGTTGTAAACTATAAAGCCATTTAGACAAAAATCTATTG